GAGGCGGAGCGCGGCGCCCCGGCACTCGGAGGCTCCGGGCCCTGGGCTCATCCCCGCGCAGCCCTCCGTGCTATGTGTACAGGCTGCTTCCACTCGTGTTGCACTGGAAGATGATTTCACCAGCTCTGTGCACTGCCGATTTCCTGACATGTTGATTCCCAGGCTGCAAGAGAAAAAGCTGTGATTGCCCCAAGAGTAGGAAAGGGTGAGAGAAATCCTGGAGGGGCACTGCAATGGCATTGGACAAGTGGGAGAACTTAACCCATCTCTTTGAATCAAGCTGACAACAATGAGAGAGGAATACAGCAGCTACTGGCAATCAAGATTCTCAAGGAGGGAGATGGCACTTTTCCTTCCCTACCCCTTTCCCTGGAAGACAAGGAGTTGCTTCTGATTTTGCCATTTAACTGGATAGTTTCTGCACTGTGGGGGCAAAGACCTTTCCTTTTGACAAACTGGAGTGTTGAGGAATCCACTCATCTGCCCCTTGAACTGCTATGCAACCACACAGGAAATGCAAGCTCTTCTCACATGCTAGTGGGACTTTAGCCCATCTTCCATCTCTTTGCAAAATGGATTGTAGTGCCCCATGAGCAAATAATTGTCCAAATGCACATAATTATGTCCCAAGATGTGAGAGTAGCAGCTGAAGTATATGCCCCTGTGCTCTGTGTGTCTGTATACTGCAGAGGCGACAGTTTGGATGGAGGCACCTGATTCACCACTACAAGAGGAGAGCTGTTACCACAACGATCCACAGGGACTGGTGGAGGAGTTAAGCTAGGAGACAGATTAGGCTGCAATCCATCAGCACAGCTTGACAGGGCCATGCACATCTTGTAGGTGAGAAACATCAGCTGAGGTGCATCACCTTCTTCTTTCTTTCCACATGGGACAGGCAATGATGCCACACACAAGAGTCCATGTGACTGAACACATTCTGTCTCGCAGCTCTCCAACTTGTCTCTGCCTACACAATGATTTTGCCTATCTTTTCCCTGTCTGCCTTCTGCAAATGAAGACAGTAACATCTCTGTTTGGCAACATGTAACATGCTGCTGTAGGACCATGCTGGAGACAACTCCCTAAGGAAGAGCTGCAGGGTTCTGCTGGAACTTCAGAGCTGGTCCTGGAGATGGTAAGTTGGCCTCCCCGTGGCCCCATATCTCTTGGTGCTAGAGAGCTGCAACTTCCGCACGGCACCTCCTGAGCCCATGTCCTCTTGGACAAGGCAGCCCAAGGCAGAGGTGCACCCTCTCTGTTCCTTAACTCAGCTGGACAATATGAGGTTTCAAAATTCAACTCTGGTTTTCTGTGTTAAATATTTAATCCTTCAATGCTTGTTATGTTTCTTCTGAACAAACTCCTCGTTTCTGTCTACTATCAGTGAGACTGGGAAGACAGGAAGAAGATTAGCAATATGTTCAGTTTTATGCATGCTTGTGAAAGACTCTGCTGCTACAGCAGTACCTTTGTTCTCATTTCTGAGAAAAGAAGCCCAGGTGAGACTTAGGAAACTTTACTGAAGCCAACCACAAAAGACCTGGCTGGATTTAGACTTTCTTCCTTTCTGTTGCAAGTTGAAGAGGCTTGTGGTTCATTGTACTGAACCCAGTCCCTCTGAATTAAGACTCAAACAGAGTCAAGGTGTTGATCAAGCAAAAGTGTGCCTTTATTTCTTAACTGATGAGCAAGTGAGAGAGGGAAAGAAAAGGAGAGGGAAAAGAAAGGGAAGGGAAAGAAAAAAGGGAAGGAGAAAAGAAAAAGGAAGGGGAAAGTGGACAGGGAAGGGGAAAGTTGAAAGAGGAAAGGAGAAAAGGCAAAGGGGAAAGGTTAAAAGGAAAGTGAAGAGGAAAGGGGAAAAAGAAAGGGAAAGGGAGGGGATAGAGGGGAGGGGAGGGGGAAGGGAAAGGAGAAAGGAAGGGAGAGGAAAGGGAGAGAAAGGGAAAGGGAGAGGAATAGGGAGAGGGAGTTGGAGAGGGAGAAGGAGAGGGAAAGAGAGAGGGAGAGGGGGAGGGAGAGGGAGGGAAAGGAGAGGGAAATGGAGAGGGGGGTGGGAGGGGGAGGGAGAGGGGGAGGGAGAGGGAGAGGAAAGATAACGGAAAGAGAAAGGGAAAGGGAAAAGGAAAGGGAAAGGGAAAGGGAAAGGGAAAGGGAAAGGGAAAGGGAAGGGGAAAGGAGTCACCACTGCAGATCCCATGATATCCTGAAGGTCCTTCCCCCTTGATCTTTTTCTGGGGATGTACTTTTGGCTATGGGGTTGGGAATGCCTTTGATGCCGTATGACAGTCCCTCTCAATTGGGCCAGGAGCTCCTGCCAGATGGAGAGTGGTGTCACACGCTGTGTGCATGCCATACTGCTGTTCTTCTCCCTTTGCATGGTGATTGTGAAGGGCTGTGTTTCAGGGGGAGGACCCAAGACCTTCTTAAGCAAGACGACTAACTCCTGGCTTCTCCATTGCACTGTGTTTGTTTACACCTTTCACAAGAATGTTACAGGACAGTTTTGGTTCTGAGGTCTTGACAAGATTGTTACAGTTTTGTCTCTAGTCACCAGTTAGCTGCAAGTCGCTCTCTTAACCAATCAGAGAGAAAATTCAAATGTTACGGTTCTGTATAGTGCTGTCACAGTCTGAGCCAGAAAGAAACATGCCACTTTATCCCCACCACTTTCCTTTGTTGTCCTGCCTGTGATTCAATTCCTGTGTCCCTTTCCACTCTCTGCCGCAGAAATAGGTGGCTCTGTCTGCAGCTGCAGGTGAAAGCACTTCCAGGAAGAGTTGGTTCCTAGATGCATTTGCAGAGCTGGTGAAACAAGTCTAGAGAGATGATGCAAAGTGCTGGAATAACATGAAACACTACAGTAGCACTGGATTCTGCAGGTCTCTGACAGGACGAGGATCTGCCTGATCCAGTTGCAATCAGAGCTGCTGTCAGCAATGGGTACACCAGAGATGTGGCAGGTAAGCATGAGAGAGTCTGTGACCTTCCCAACCATGGGCCCAGAGGTCTCTGCCTGCAACTGACAAAGGGCATCTGCAGCTTCAGGAGTTAAGGATGAACAGGCAGGGAGAGCTCTAGCAATTGCTTTATTTACTATACTGCTTTCCCAGACTTCTACTTGTGGAATCCAGGTGCTACAAACACGTATGCTCTGAAGTTCTTGCTCCCATTATAGTCTCGAATCTGTGAGAGAAACATACAAACAACACCAAACAACCAAACAACCAAAATACAACCACGGGACGAAGCACTAAGGCAAATACACAGACATTCATGTTATCAGGGAAATAAAGGGGATATACAATAAACTCAGCTTTGCTCCAATGTAGCTTTGTTAAATACACCGTCATTAAATAAATAAATAAATAAATAAGAGGCGGATGTGAAAGATGCCTCATTTTGGGTGTAAAAAAAGAATTTGTCTTTTCTAATTCATCTTCTATGAGGGTCATCAGACATCTCCTTTCTCCCACTGAGCTCCCAGGTGACCCTCTGTACTTTCCTCTTTTCCCATTCCTCCCTCAGAGAACAAAACTCATGGGCTGGACTGAACTGAACTGAGCCATGCCCAAAAAACAAATCAGGGCTCATCAGCTGGACCATTATAGGGTATCCATCCTAGTGGGAAATGATGGAAACTTGTTTCCAAAGCTGAAGTAGTTTGGGAATGTGAGGAGTAAGGGTTGGTGTGAGAAATGGGAAGAAAAAGAAAGCTTGCAGCCACGTGCAGCCACTCCAAACCACTGATGAGCCATCCCGGTACTGAGTAGTGTAGACCACAGGCAAGGATGCCTGTGTGAGGTTTGGTCCTTCATAGACAGCTATCTCTGTCCCTTCCCCGTCTTTGGTTCCAGCATGAGCCCCTCCGGTGCCAATATCAGTGACATTGACCTTAATCGGGGGGTTGGGCTTGATCAGGATGTTCTGACTAGACATGACTCTCTGGTGTTTTCTCTATTTTCCTTTTAAGTATCTGGTTATTGTCAGGCTAAAGGGTCACCATGACAGCATGGTTCTCTTAAGTGTTGTGGTATAACCCCAATAGGCAGCTAAGCACTGCAAAGCTTCTTGCTCTGTCTCACTCCTCTTCCAAAGCAGGACAATGAGCGGGGCTGTAGGGGGTAAGACAATGAAATGGAGGAAAACTTGTAGGTTTTTGAGAGAGAATTGGTTTAGCAAAAGAAAAGCACAGGCCATACAAGGAAAAAAAGGAGAAAAAAAAAGTCTCTACTTCCCAACATCAAGCAATGTTCAGCCACTTCCTGGAAAGCAGGGCCTATATACACATAGTGATTGGTCTGGGAGACAAATGCCTCTGTAACAAGTGTCTCCAGTATTATTCCAGTTTTTATTGGTGAGCATGATGTTATATGGTATGGAATATCTCTTTGGTCTGTTTAGGTCAGGTGTCTGAGCTCTATCCCCATCCCACCTCTTCTCCACTCTCAACCTACTGATCTTTGGCAGAGGGAGCAGGAGACAAAGCCTTGGTGATGTGCCCGCATTGCTTAACAAGAGCCAAAACACTGATGATACCAAAACCATTCACGATCCAAGGGCAAAGTATGGCATAGAAAAAGTTAATTCCATCCCACTCAGACCCAGTACAATCTCTACCCCTTATTCCATACCATTTGCATAATGATCAGGTTACACATAAATAAATATCTATCCCCTGATCATTTTTCTATCCAATGTATAAATCTGTATTTTCTCATTAACCACTATTCCCTGTCTCTTAACAGATACTGTCTGCCTGTACTACAGGCTTCTCCCACTTCCCAAAACATCCGTAAGAATGGTTGATGATTTAGACCTTACATGTCAAGGTGGTCACTCGAACATGAGAATCACAGAATCACAGAATGGCCAGGGTTGGAAGGGACCTCAAGGATCATGAATCTCCAACCCCCCTGCTACATGCTCAGGGCCCCATCCAATCTGGCCTTGAACACTTCCAGGGACAGGGCATCCACCACCTCTCTGGGCAGCCTGTTCCAGTACCTCACCACTCTCTCTGCAAAGAATTTCCCCCTGACATCCCATTGAAATCTCCCCTCCCTCAACTTAAAACCATTTCCCCTCATCCTGCAGTTATCTACCCTTTCAGAGAGCTGATTCCCCTCCTGTTTGTAGGCTCCCTTTAGGTACTGAAATGCTGCAATGAGGTCACCTCGCAGCCTTCTTTTCTCCAGGCTGAACAAGCCCAGCTCCCTCAGCCTGTCTTCATAGGAGAGATGCTCCAGTCCCCTGATCATCTTTGTGGCCCTCCTCTGGACCCTGGAGAAGCAGCATGTTGAATTCCTGGAGGCCCGCACCAGCTTTGAGTCATCGCTACACTCAACTTACTAGGTTCCTTGCCAAGTTCACTCTTTCTTGATCCAGTTAGTGTCTTCTGCAGTGCTTTCCTACAACATATAACTCTAATTATAGAATAGCTTCACCTAAGGTTAAGTCTCACTGAAGTACACACTAGATCTCTGCATTCCTCCGCATCATCCAACATGGCTAATTCTCTCAGCTACTGAATACCTCCCTCCATGGCAATTACTTGCTTTGAAGGGTTACCTTTCCTTCACATTTGGTAGGAATCACCTCCAGAGGCTGAGGACTAGTGCCCGTTTTTCCAGTTGCTCTGCCAAGGGGAAAGAGATCTCAGACACTGGGCCTTTTCCCAGCATCAGAGAAGCCAGTGGTAACATGTTCACTTGTAGGATGGCTGAAATCATTTTGCGTATCTCACAGCTCACTAATGGATAAAGACTGTGGGACTTCTGACTGATTCACGAATTCTCTCTCTTCCCCATCCTGTTCTTGTGACTGCTCTGCTGTAGAGTAGCCTGTCTTTTCAGACTCTTCCTTCTATTCCTTCTTAAGAGAATCTTATTCGTCCCTTACCTAAATGAGGTGACTTTTGATTCCATTGTTTCTTCTTGACTAGAAAGGTGACTGATACCATGGATGGTTGGCTCCTTGGTTTAGCAACAGCATTGTTTCGTCTTCAGACCTGGAGACCTTCAGTTCCCCTTGAGAGTACTGAATAGTGTTGAATAGAGCTCAAATAAACATGCTTGATTTGGAGTCAATTTGGCTATAATTTGCAGGGCCTCTGGCCAGATTCACAAAAGCTGCTTGCTGCCTCCTGGGTAGTTGTAGTGCAATTAGCACAAAGTGACCAAGCAAGCTAATGCCTGGGAGCAGAGTAGGAGAGAAGTTTTTTGAACAGCTAGAGACTCTCTCAACCTTTCTTTTACTATATTCTTAAGGCTGTCTCCTAAGGAAGAGCCTTGGGCACATTGCAGGAACCTCAGTAACCCCTTTGTTGCCAGCAACTGCATAGGGCTGGGCTGTAGGAGACATCCCAGCCCTTGCTCTGGAGTAAGGGGAGTAAGTCCTTGCTCTGGAGGGACCTGCTGAGATGTTTCTGGTATCAGGCCACGAAAATATAGGAAGCATTGGAGCTACAAGTACATTACAGGGTCTATGTGTGCTTTGCTTGCCCTCACACTGCAGGCCTTGGTGCTTGGATGCCATTAACCTGAAATGCACATCAAGCCACAACTGGGCTGTTCATCCACTGCCGTTCTTTTTTGCGCTCACGGAAATGGCTGAGGGCTGGATTGGTGATGGGATGTCAGTGCAAACAGGCAATGCTGCTTCTTAAGCCTGAGCGATATGAGTGTCAAAGGGAAGAAGGGGACAAAGGGCAGGCAGAGAGGGTCTGCAGGCAGGGAGAGTGGCCAAGCTGATTTGGTGACAAGGAATACACTGAGCATCTTTCTCAGCTCACAGTACTGCTTTTGAGAGTCAGTCAGGATGAGTGGTAAAAGGAAAGAAACTCTTGCAGAAAGGACAGGGCTATATGTGGTGTGCAGTGATGTCTCCTCGCCTTGTGGAAGCAGCCCAAAGCTGACACAGTTCTCAGTAGCCCTACAGATGCACTCTAGTCCATGTCTTCCTGGTAAGGGTTTTTTGTTAAGCATCAGTTGGATTTCCTGTCACAGTGCAATGCCGCAGAAGTAGCGGGCTGAGTCCCCTGGATGCAAGCGGTGAAGGGAGAGAGATGCCATGGCTTGGGAGTTGTTCCGGGAGACAGTGGCTCGACCTTCCACAGCTGTCCCATATTTCTTTGTAGTACCAGCCTGGCTGCCGATGAAGGACACCCACTCAGGAACGCCTCTGGGAGTCTGACGGTACCAGTGTATGTCATAGACGCTGAAGCTGAATCCAGATGCCCGGCAGAACAGGGACACAGAGTCCCCAGATACTTGCACATCTCCACCAAACTCTACGAGCTGGTACTGTGTGCATACTCCTGTGGAAAGAAAGCAGCAGGAGCCAGGACAGTGTGCATCCAGGGCAGCCATCCTGATCCCACTGATCATAAACTCCTGAGATCTGAACCACCTCTTTCCTACTAAAGCCCTGGACAGGGACATTGCTACTGTGAAAGAGGACCGCTCCCGCAGCATCCGCGTCCCCACACAGCCTCCCTCTGCCACGCACCACAGCCGCTCCCCGGCACCGA